ACACTGTGCACCTTCTTCTGTAAATTTGGGTACCTCGGGAAAGCCTTGCAAATCAAAGTGCCAGTCATCAACCTGTAGTGGATGTGGCAAATCTTCCCCAGACTCGTTAGGTGATGATGATTCTGCATCAAAAAGGGCTATGATGTCTTGCATGTTCAAGCTCAGGCACGGTACCTTTAAAATCTACAGACTCTGAATGAATACTTTAACTAGAACTGTCAGTATCAGAAATTGCTGCACTAGTGCTTGCTGCCAGTCAAGTCTTAGTTTATGTACCAACTGTTTATATGGAAGAGCAAAAGAGAAGTTTACAGCTTTATAGCAGCCAGTGAACCATTGATGAGTTATTTGGTATAGTGAGAGATTAAATTCTAAACTATCACCCTGAGAAGACTGAATCTAGTCAATTCTGGTTGTGACACAGTCCCTTAAATGCTGTGTCACCATCTCTGCAGTGACCTGTTCTTGAAAACTAGTTAAATTCCATTGGTTCTCGATGTGTCTGGTAAGTGTTTAAATTGGCCAGGCTATGAATATAGTAACTAAAAATTACATTTTTATGACCGACCTTCCAGTAAGGTGATAAAACTTAAGACCAATAACAGTAGTAAATACAGACAGTGATGGGTTACATGTTATAACCCTAATGGCTGTTTTAAGGTTGTTGTCAAATTTTTCTGTTAGCCTCAGTGATGGAGGTCATGGCATGAATCTGTGGATATATATTTTTTTCCCCAGGCCTTGGGACATTTATTCCATTTAATGCTTCTCTCTGGTTGTGTTATTGATCACCCCTTTTATATCATCATCATCATCAGGTGCCTTGCCGACTGGCGTGGGCGATCATGCCTCTCCATAATCTGCGATCTCCTGCAGCATGTATCAGTTCAAATGCCAACACACCTCCATGCCATGCAACAAGACTGTCAAGCATCTTCTCTCGTTGTCTTCCTCTATCTCTCCTTCCACAGATCTTTCCAGTGGTCACAACATGTTCTATTTTCCCTCTTCTCATAACATGGCCGTAAAATGATGACTTTCCTTCTGATGTCTGTGATAAGTTGTCTTTGGGCTCCCGCCTCTTTCAAAACCTCTTGGTTGCTCTTTTTGGCTGTCCAAGGTATTCTATGCATTCTTCTGTAAAACCACATCTATGAGGCCTCTAGAAATTGTTTGGCCTGCCTACCGATTGTCTAGGATTCACAGCCATATGTTAAAACTGGATGTATGTAGCAAGCAAGAATTCTTTTTCTAACTCTCAATGACAAGGATATATTGCACAAGATGTTTTTTATTTTATAAAATGCAGTTTTTGTCTGTCCTATTCTGTTTCTTATCTCAGTTATGCATCTTCTATCTGATGTTATCCATGTGCCCAGATACTTAAATTTCTGTACTTGTCCTAAAATAACACCATCAACTTTTATTACACACTTAGGAATAATTCGTTTCTTTAATACCACCATTACTTTTGTCTTCCCATTATTCAAACTGATGCCCATTCTTCCACTTTCTAACACCACAAATTTTCTGTAGTTCTTTCTGACTTGTTGCTATCAAGACTGTGTCATCAGCATAACCTAAATTGTTTATATTGTGCCCACCAACCACAATTCCGGGCATTCCAATTAAAGATCTCATTATGAATTCACTGTATATTGAAAACAAATCAGGTGAAAGTACACATCCTTGTCGTACGCCCCTTTTTATGCTTTGAAATGTACCTAAACAGTTGTTAATTCTTATAGCTGCTGTTTGCTGCCAATACATATTCTTTATTATTCGTAGATCTTTCCCATCAATGTTTAATTTTTCTAACAGTTTGATTACTTCTTCATGCTTCACACAGTCAAATGCTTTTGTATAGTCTATGAAGCACATGTACAAATCAGTCTTTACTTCTATAGCTCTTTCTGACAATGTCCTTAGGATGTATATGGCATTGTTTGTACCTTTTCCTTCTACAAATCCACATTGTTCATCGCTGATTTCTGGTTTAATTTTGTTTCTTATTCTTCTCATAATTATTCTCAGTAAAATCTTAGTCATGTGACTCATAAGACTTATTGTGCGATGGTCTTCACATTTTATAGTGCTTGGTTTCTAAGGCAGAGCTATAAATATGGATTTTAAAAGGTCATTTGGAATATACCCACTGTTATAAATATCATTTAAAAGTTTAGTTATTATTTAAATTCCAAAATCTCCCAGTGCTTCGATTTCTTCCAGTGAGATGTCGTCTGGCTTGGGTGCTTTTCCTTTCTTTATATGATGTATTGCATCCTCAACTTCTACAATCATTATTGGTGGACCATCATTGTTGGTCTGCAGTTCTACATCTAGTCTATTATCATCATACAATTCCCCTATATACTCTGTCCATCTGTTAATTATATTACTATGTCCCATTAATAAGTCAACATCTTTTGATTTCAAACATCCAGTGCTGTTACGTGTCATCTTTCCTGTTAACATATTTATCTGTTGGTACATGGAATGTGAGTCTTTCCTGTGATTTTCCCCAATCTCTGTACACATTTGCTTCAGCCAGGTTTCTTTAGCCACTTTGCATTTGTTCACTATTTCTTTTTGTATTCTAGAGTATTTTTCTTTATCATTCTTTTTCTTCCTTCTTTCATCCATCAACTGCAGAATTTTGATTGACATCCATTTCTTTTTTGCAACTCTATGGGTTGGTGGGATTGTCTCTTTAGATGTCTGCTGAATTGACTCACTTTTTATATATCTTTATATATTTCACACAAAGAAATATTGATAAATATATTTTGACAACATTTATGTGTTACCTGTGTTAAACAGTTGTCTTTAAAGATTTTAAAAAAAACTGATTTCTATTGGTTCCTGGCCCATTTTTTAAGCATTCACATAGTGAAAAGGTTATTGACCTCACTTACTTTCATATCACTGACACAGAATCATTCCCATGTAGGTTTCAGGTCCTCATTTGCTGGGTTGGGGAAGGGGGGGGGGGAGAATAGATCCACTGCCCTCTAACAAGCATGTCATAAAAGGCCACCATAGTTTTGATGCTTTAGACAGTATGATAATCAAGAGAAGATGGAAATGGCTTGGTCACGTTATGAGAATGAATCCTGATATACCTGCCAAAACAGCTCTCATATGGACACCAGAGGGAAAGAGAAAATGGGCACCCAAAAACAAGTTGGAGACGAACGATGGAAAGTGACCTGAGTGCTGCATCTTTGACATAGAAAACTGCACTGAAGATTGCACAGGACAGGAAAGCATGGAAAGTCCTCTATGAAGCCTCATGTGCCACTAGGCATAACGAGAACTGATGATGATGAGAGTTTTGATGAAATCAGATGTGTTGAGCTGACAGGCAGATACATCACAGCCTAGCTGTAAATCTTAACACTGTGTGCCAACCGCCCTTTTAGGGTTAATGCAGAAGAAGAAGGTACAGAATCTTGTATGTGCACCGGTAAATGCTTTTATGATCAGCCAGCCTCAGGCATCAGATCAAGGGAACCAGTCTGGCCAGTGAAAGTGTTGAAAATATCTGTGATTGTAGCCGCGCTGATATCAAGAGATGAATTTACTAAACACACACTTTGACTTGGAAGAAAAACTATGCAGATGCAATTAAGCGTTTTGGCCGAAGGCTTTATCACTGAATAAAACAAGAAGAAGAAAAACCCTAAGTGCCAGAAGCAAATGGGGGAGTCACATAGCAAAAAGAACTAGAAAGGAAAAGTGAGAATAGTAAGGATTGTTGGGAAGAGAGGCATGAAAAAAATATATTGAAAGAACATTGGGGAGAACAATATAAGAAAATAAACAGAACAAAGGTGAATAAATAACCCTTTTTTTAAACATTATCGGAGCAAAAAACATTCTTTAAAGCAGTACCTTTCTAGAATGTTTTGTAAGTTATTGCAACATTAGATGTCTGAGCATAATTCTTTATAGACTTCTTGGGTGATGATATTTTTTATTGTACCCAATTTGATTATCTTGATATCTTCTAGAATAACAAGAATATTCATAATTTAATAACCTTCCATATGTTCATACTAATAGTGATTACTATAATTAACCTAACCCGTTATACTTCAAAATATAAAATATAAAGAGAACCAAGTTCTCTTAATATATAAAGAGAACCAAGTTCTCTTAATGTAAAGAGAACCAAATTATTTTTAGCTGAAGCCTTTATCGATGAGTAGCACAAGAAGAAGAATAGGAATTCTCGTCCTCAGCCCTACACAGACGAGTTCAGGTTCATAAAGGCTTCAGCAAAAACAATCATTGCTGTTTGCCTCCACCCCTCCTCCCCCTCCCCCCCCCCCCCAACCTTGAGCTTCCTAGTCTAACATTGTCTTTCTTCACTGTTGTTAACACCATCAATCAGCGTGTCTTTTACAGAACTTCTCTCTCTTCATGGCACGGCTGAAAGTCTTTTTGACTCAGACCAGTTCTCTAGTCTTGTGCACTTTCGTATCCAATGCTCTTCAGTGGCTTGTATCCACATTCGCAAAGGTCAGCCTCACCTTGTTTTCCAGAAACTACACCCTCCATCACCGTTCTGTCCAGGCCACTATTGCCACTGTTTTTATCAGTGCAACGTAACTAGTTTCGTCATGATGATGTACATCTATTCACATCTGTGTTGTCTTTTCTCCTTCTTCATGTTCACCAGCTCTAAACTGTGGCGGAAATTCTGGTTGTTAAACCACATCTGGACGTTCGACCTATTCCAGAACCTGTGATGCATGCACACCTGTTTTACAGATTTAACTTAACGTGTGTGCAGACTGTTGGTTCCTTTTTGTTGGTTCTTTACCTCTGAGGCAGATGTGCTCTGACTTTGAAGGAACCCCCAATTAGTCAACTCTTATGAGATGCTTATTGGGGAGGCAGTGGGTCTATTCTTGTTTTCCTCCACAACGAGGACACACCACCCACAGTGGGAATCTGTGTTGTAATCGATTCTTTCCTGTGTTCTTATGTTGCAGTTGGAGAGCCAGAAATTTTTAGCAGAAAACTCTGCCTCTGTGTACATCAAGAAAGTGGAAGCAAGGATCAGCGAGGAAGCTGAGCGGGCCAAACATTATCTTGACAAGTCCACAGAGGAGCCCGTTGTCAAAGTGAGTATATGCCGTTATCACTTTCACTTAGTTAGTGTAAGAAAGAGGGTTGTGTTGTTAAAGTGAGCCCTAGCTATTATCCCTTTAGCTTTGCTAGTGAAAGGAATAGGACTTTTTTTATCAAAGTAAGTATTAGCAGTTATGACTTTAATTTTTTTGAGAAAGAGTTATGTTGTAGAGTGAGCCTAAGCAATTGTAACTCAAAGTTTCCTAGTTTAAGGAATTTGGCTCTGATGTCAAAGTAAGTTTTAGCAGTTATTACTTTAACTTTTCTAGTTTAAGGAAGAAGGCTCTGATGTCAAAGTAAGTTTTAGCAGTTATTACTTTAACTTTTCTAGTTTAAGGAAGAAGGCTCTGATGTCAAAGTAAGTTTTAGCAGTTATTACTTTAACTTTTCTAGTTTAAGGAAGAAGGCTCTGTAATTAAAGTAAGTTTTAGCAGTTATTACTTCAACTTTTCTAGTTTAAGGAAGAAGGCTCTGTAATTAAAGTAAGTTTTAGCAGTTATTACTTCAACTTTTCTAGTTTAAGGAAGAAGGCTCTGTAATTAAAGTAAGTTTTAGTAGTTATTACTTCAACTTTGTTAGTGTAAAAAACAAAAAAGAGGATTGTGGTGTCAAAGTAAGACTTAGCAATTATCACGTTAATGTTGTAAGTGTAAAACACAAAAACAAATGATAAAACCTTCATCAGCATACAATATAGGCATTGATACAACTACATCAGATACCTCATATAATAACATATTTTATGGGAAGGAAACTCTTGGTCAAAATGTGCATCCACACTTAAAAATAAAGGCCATCTGATATGTGCCTTTGCTGAATTCCATCTGATATGTGCCTTTGCTGATGGACAATAGAGTAAGAGCACTAGACAAAAGGGATATATATGAATTGTCTCTACAAAAGACATTAGAGCAGCAGTGTAAGGAGAGAGTTTTGTCCCTATAAAAAGACATTGGAGCAGCAGTGTAAGGAGAGAGTTTTGTCCCTTTAAAAGAAATTGGAGCAGTAGTGTAAGGAGAGAGTTTTGTCCCTATAAAAAAACATTAGAGCAGCAGTGTAAGGAGAGAGTTTTGTCCCTATAAAAAGACATTAGAGCAGCAGTGTAAGGAGAGAGTTTTGTCCCTTTAAAAAGACATTGGAGCAGCAGTGTAAGGAGAGAGTTTTGTCCCTATAAAAAGACATTAGAGCAGCAGTGTAAGGAGAGAGTTTTGTCCCTATAAAAAGACATTAAAGCAGCAGTGTAAGGAGAGAGTTTTGTCCCTATAAAAAGACATTAGAGCAGCAGTGTAAGGAGAGAGTTTTGTCCCTATAAAAGTCATTAGAGCAGCAGTGTAAGGAGAGAGTTTTGTCCCTATAAAAAGACATTGGAGCAGCAGTGTAAGGAGAGAGTTTTGTCCCTATAAAAATACATTGGAGCAGCAGTGTAAGGAGAGAGTTTTGTCCCTATAAAAGACATTAGAGCAGCAGTGTAAGGAGAGAGTTTTGTCCCTATAAAAGACATTAGAGCAGCAGTGTAAGGAGAGAATTTTGTCCCTATAAAAAGACATTGGAGCAGCAGTGTAAGGAGAAAGTTTTGTCCATATAAAAAACATTAGAGCAGCAGTGTAAGGAGAGAGTTTTGTCCCTATAAAAGACATTAGAGCAGCAGTGTAAGGAGAGAGTTTTGTCCCTATAAAAAGACATTGGAGCAGCAGTGTAAGGAGAGAGTTTTGTCCCTATAAAAAACATTAGAGCAGCAGTGTAAGGAGAGAGTTTTGTCCCTATAAAAGACATTAGAGCAGCAGTGTAAGGAGAGAATTTTGTCCCTATAAAAAACATTGGAGCAGCAGTGTAAGGAGAGAGTTTTGTCCCTATAAAAAACATTGGAGCAGCAGTGTAAGGAGAGAGTTTTGTCCCTATAAAAAGACATTGGAGCAGCAGTGTAAGGAGAGAGTTTTGTCCCTATAAAAAGACATTAGAGCAGCAGTGTAAGGAGAGAGTTTTGTCCCTATAAAAAACATTAGAGCAGCAGTGTAAGGAGAGAGTTTTGTCCCTATAAAAAACATTAGAGCAGCAGTGTAAGGAGAGAGTTTTGTCCCTATAAAAAGACATTTGAGCAGCAGTGTAAGGAGAGAATTTTGTCCCTATAAAAAGACATTGGAGCAGCAGTGTAAGGAGAGAATTTTGTCCCTATAAAAAGACATTGGAGCAGCAGTGTAAGGAGAGAGTTTTGTCTCTACAAGAGACATAAGTGTGAAAAAAAGGGAACTTGTGGATTTGAAAAATAACAATTTTTTTTAAAGTATTTGTTGTAGGCATACATTTACTGTGACATCTGTAAAGAGAAAGCCACATTAAAAATTAGATTTTTGTTTAAAGTTTTGTATTCTCAATCCTACCTTATGTTGCAGAAACCTAGACAATGATCAAGCAGTTAAAAAATTGAATCAAACCCCTTTGGATTTAGATATACAGAATGAAAGGTCTTATTTTGTGAGTGGGGGGGGGGTGGGGGGGGGGGGGGGGGGTTTTGGGGAAGGAGACAAATACTTTAGAGATCTGTTTCAGCCAGCGTTCATTGTGGAGGCAGCATCTGATTCATTTTTGGATATTTTGGTTTTCTGTTGATTTTTACATATGATTTAAATTTCTGTATCTTTTTTCTCTAGGTTTTAGAAGCAGAACTTATCAGCAAACATATGAAAACAATTGTGGAGGTAAGAGTAGTAATTTTGCCTTTATTTTGAAAAGATTTTTACAAATATCCCTGTGTGGATTCAGGGACCCCTTTGGGTGGAAAAAGGGAATCCACTGCCTCCTACAAGCCTGTCATAAAAGTAGATTAATTAGGGGTTTGCTAAAATCGAATGTGTTGGTTTAAAAGTTGCGTATTTCACAGCCTAGCTGTAAACCAAAACACATGCCAACCTCCTCTTTAAGGGAAATGCAGAAGAAAAAAGAAGAGGATCTGTTACATCATATGTTTATTATTATGGAGATGCAGCATTAATTTCTATACCATTGTCAGAAATCCTGTTTGAAAATGTGTACGTCATTATTCCTTGTCTGCTGAGACATTGGTCCAGGTTCAATCTACAGCATCCCTGTTTGGGTTCCTGTGTTCCATTTTGAGGGTCAAGAGGTAGATCCAGTGCCTTCTGGCAAGCCAAGCGCTTGTTGTAGGAAGCAACATTCAAAGTGCATCTGCCTTGAAAACAAGGAGACAGCAGATAAGCCAAATCCATGAAAACAAGGAGACAGCAGATAAGCCAAATCCATGAAAACAACATGCACAAAATTCAAGTTCTAGAACTAGAGAGAAGTTCTCAGGTGGACAAAAAAACCAGAACTTTCCACCAGACTTTACAGCTGGTGAACGCGAAGAAGAAGAGGTGGACAATTATTGTTTCTGGTTATTACAGCTCTAGGGCCCACTGAACCTCTTAAAAATGGGTACCTGCCAGTTTTCAGAATTGCCTGAGAGGGAAAAATGAAAGGGAAAGGAACTGAAAGAGCAAACATTCCACCTCTGCCGTAAGCTGACACGATGTATCTACTGCAGAGTATCAGATTCAAAGAAAAAGAACAAGCCGTACAGCAGTACATGGGGTTGTGTTTGAAAGTGTTGTGTAAGTGTGAGGACTGTGTTATGTGAGGACTTTGCTATATATGAGTGTTATGTGTTGACTGTCTTGTGTGAGTGTTGTGTGAGGACTGTGCTGTGTGAATGGTTTGTGTTGACTGTCTTGAGAGAGTGTTGTATAAGGACTCTATTAAGTGAGTGTTTTGTAAGGACTCTGTTATGTGAGTGTTGCGTGGGGACTGTGCTGTGTGAGTATTTTGTGAGGACTGTGCTGTGTGAGTGTTTTGTGAAATCTCTGCTATGCGAGTGTTGTGTGAGGACTGTACAGTGCGCGTGTTGTGGAAGGACACTTTTGTGCCAGTGTTGTGTGAGAATTTTGCTGTGTGAGTGTTGTGTGAAGACTGTGCTATGCAAGTGTTGTAGGAGAACTGTGTTGTGTGAAGACTAAGTTATGCGAGTGTTGTGTGAGGACTGTATTATGTGAGTGTTGTATGAGGACTATGTTATGAGACTGTTGTGTGAGGATTGTGCTGTGCAAGTGTTGTGTGATGATTGTGCTGTGCAAGTGTTGTGTGAGGACTGTTATGAGAATGTTGTGTGAGAACCATGTTTGTGAGTATTGTACGATGACCATGTCTGTGTAAGCACCATGTTTGTGAGTATTGTACCATGACTGTAACTGTGTAAGCACCATGTTTGTGAGTATTGTTTGATGACCATGGCTGTGTAAGGACCATGTTTGTGAGTGTTGTGTGACTAAAATGTTTGTGGGTATTATGTGAGGACCAAGTGTGTTAGTTTTGTGTGTGTGTGATAGAGAGAGGGAGGGAGGGAGAGAGAGAGACGACCATGTATGTGAGTGTTGTGCGAAGACCATGTGTTAGTACATGCATTTTTGTGAGGGCCATGTGTGTGAGTGTTGTCTAAGGACCATGTTTATCAGTATTATGTGGGAATTGTGAGAGGATTATGTGATGATTGACATGATTGTCCTCATGTGTTTCAGATGGAGAACTCTGGTGTTGTGCACATGCTGGAGAATAACAAGACAGATGGTATGTTGTTGTTTCTCATTTGTTTTGGTTTCCTCATATGTTGTTGTTTCTCGTATGTTGTTGTTTCTTGAATGTTGTTGTTTCTCATGTGTTGTTTCTTGAATGTTGTTGTTTCTCGAATGTTGTTCTTTCTCATGTGTTGTTGTTTCTCACATGTTTTAGTTTCTTGAATATTGTTGTTTCTCATTTGTTGTTGTTTCTTGTATGTTGCTGTTTCTCGAATGTTGTTGTTTCTCGAATGTTGTTGTTGTTTCTCATAATTTGTTGTTTTTCGTATGTTGTTGTTTCTCCTATGTTGCTGTTTCTCATTCTTTAGCTGTCCAGTGCCAGTCAGTCTTACTCAGATATGTTGAGCCATTTGCCTTACACTCGGAAGGTTGTAGGCTCATTTCATGGACTGTGTAATTTGGATTTATAAATAGTCATTTTGTTGAAGCAAACAGTCATCTTATTGTTGCAGTCAGCCATCTTGTTGTAGGAAACATCTTGTTGTAGCAAACAGTTATCCCATTTTAGCAAACAGCCATCTCATTGTAGCAAACAAACAGCCATCTTTTTGTAGCAAACAGCCATCATGTTGTAGCAAAAAAGTAATCATGTTGTAGCAAACAGTCATCGTGTTGTAGCAATCACTTTTGTGTTTCAGATCTGTCCTGCATGTACAAACTGTTTATCCGTGTGCCAAATGGTTTGAAGACCATGAGTGACTGTATCAGCAAGTACCTCAGAGAACAAGGCAGGGCTCTAGTCAGCGAGGAAGGAGAGGAGAGCAAGAATGCTATCACATATGTGCAGGTAGGTTGCTTCTGCTGCAGATGGGAAGTTTTACTGCTGGTTTTACACACACACCAATGGTTTCTGAGGTGAAGAGGAGAGGGGGGTTGCTCTGTTACAGTCCTGTGTGGAGGTAGTACTTTGTATCAGGTTGTGAGTAATGTCATGGCACCAGGCTCACTACAGTAGATCCAAAGCCTTGAGGCCTTGAACGATCTGAGTGCAGATGTATCAGACAGAACAGCTTCTTCTTTTGCATTTGCCTTTTAAATAGCAGTTGGCACATTATGACGGGGTTCACAGCTGGAAGTGGCTTGATTTACATTTCTCGGGGTGAAAAGGTTAACTTAGTTCATTATCGAACACCACTTTCCATGCTTACGGCAGTAGTGGTCCATTTCTTAAGTGCTGAATATTAATGCTGAGAAAGGAAGTCTGGTCTCGACCAGATATGACTGAGATACTGTAAAACAGTAGTTGCTACTGCCTGTCATCTGTTTACGGTGCATGTTGGGGTGGCACACACACAGCTTGACACCCAACATGGTATGAACAGCTATCAGCAGTGAAAAGTTAAGGTTATGGCAGGGCAAACTAGCCTCAGCCTTGTTTGGAAGCTTGTCTAAGAGTTGAGCTCTGACAGAGGACTGTCCCTCTGATCTGGCAGCTTCTGAAGCATGCTTTGCTGTAAGCATATTTTTGAACATATTTTCTTTGGAGCAAACAGTTCAGGGAAAAGGATCATGCTGCATAGGCTACACATGGTCTCAGCAATACTGGCCAGGCTTTATTCTATGGAGAGGTGCAACTTCATCCCTGGCTTGATTGGCTGTGGCTCTCATACCTCTCTGTAACACACTGGGGGCTGCGTGGTCTCGAGGCATGGTGTTGAGTGCTAGTGGTTCTGGGTTCAGTCCCCAGTTAGGGCTGGAATTTTTCACGTGGACTTGGACTTCTAGTAATTCCCCCTGGTCTCTGGGTAGTTAGATCGGACGCCCGAAATCGAAAAGAGTAGCCTAACGATGCTGCCTGGGCAAAATTTGGAGTTAACAATTTACCTAAAGTATTTCAGGATCCTCACCAGTGCTACAGAGCATGTACACTGTGTTGAGCTTCTTCGGACTCAGACTTGAGTTAATAGAAGAATAGAGCACTTAAGGTTACACCCGTGTGCAATGATGTTGATCCATTGTTTAAAACCTCAAAACCTCAAACCTCTAACCTCTTTAACACACTATAATAACACTGTTGTCTGGAAAGACAGATAAATGCCAGCGAGAAGTGAAGACAAGTTGAAAAACCAGTACTGGTTTAATTCTTATATTGCTGTTTTCTTGTTGTCAGAATCTTCTGGATCTCAAGGATCGCTTCGGACACTTCCTACATGAATCGTTTAGCGATGATAAATTGTTTAAACAGATGATATCTGGTGACTTTGAATACTTCATCAACCTGAACCCCAAGTCACCGGAGTACCTGTCACTGTTTGTGGATGACAAGTTAAAGAAAGGGGTCAAAGGGGTGAGTTGCCTTGTTCTACCAGTTTGTTGTCTTTATCTTTTGTTTGTATACTGTTGTTGTATTTGGTAAATGTGTTATTTCTTTACCATTGTTTCTTCTTCTTTATTTTATCTTATGATGGAGAATTGACCCCTCAACCAATGCCAAGTCTTCATACATTTGTCAGTAGTAGTTGAGGTTTTAATGCGCAAAATGTCATTCTCTGTCCCATTTGAAAACTAGGGAAGACAATGCAGGCAAACTCTAGAAATAATCTTTGGCAGTGAATGCAGCAGCCATACGTAGCAATAACAACTGTCACCCCTAGAACTACATTTTGCCATTGATAGAGGTTGTCAGTTAATACGAGGTGGCTGTACACACAAAATTCTTGTGTAAGGCATATCGCTGGCTTGAACATAAATCGGCTACTCAACATTTTCTGAATATTGCTACAGAAGTTGTTGGATCAGAAGAGCAGTGCTGTCTGTCTGTCCGCCTATCAGAGCTTCCCTCCTAGACCAACTGCAAAGCAAGTTTAACATTTTTAAAAGAAAAGTAATAAAATCAGTCCCAAAATCCTGCAGTTGAAAGTGCCATTCATAAGGCAGAGGTGTAGCAACTTTGCTGTAGTCTTCACAGTGCAGCCAAAATCCTTTTCAGGGTCAGTGAGAAAGCTCATACAGATTTTATGGGGAGATATTACCAGGTTCTGGCTTAAATAAAAGAGCACCAGGCTAAGAAAGTTGAATGAACTCTTATTCTGGAGGCCCAGATGTTGACCTCCAATATTCAGATAGACTTTATCTGTCAGGCACACACACACAAAAAGCACAAAAATCTTAACATGTACAGTTCATTCTGATTGCACTAGGTAACTGTATCCTCGGGCTCAAAATGGCTCTACTGCTCTAAAAACTGGTTTAAAATGGGCAGTAAATGGCAGTTTTATGGCTAACAGAACAAATAGTCAGTTGTCTAATCCATTCTTTATCTTATCCATTCTTTATTTTAATCTTTCTTTATCTTCTTCACCCATTATCTTGTAGACTAGAATAGAAACACGTCAGCTGTCTAATTCATCCTTTATCTCATCCATCCTTTAACTTATCCGCCCTTTATTTTAAAAATTCTTTATTTTATCCACTCATCTTTTACATCCTTTATCTTATTCATCCTTTAAAAGATGATTGATTAGCCATCCTTTATGTTATTTTTTCTTTAAATAATCCATCCCTAATCTTATATATTCTTTATCGCATACATTCTTTATCTAATCTATCCTTTATCTAATCTATCCTTTATCTTATCAGTCCTTATTTTATCTATCTTTTATCTTATCTGTCTTTTGTCTCTTCCCACCCTCTGTCTTTTTAAAATCTTTTTTCCTTATTCACAGAGTATCTCAACCAGCATGTATCGTATCCAACCACTATCTTATCCATTCTTTATCTTATCCATAATTTTTATCCATTTTTTCAGATGACAGAACAAGAAATTGAGAATGTTCTGGACAAGAGCATGGTGCTGTTTCGCTACCTGCAGGAGAAAGATGTCTTTGAGCGCTACTACAAGCAGCATCTGGCCAGACGGTTGCTGCTGAACAAAAGTGGCTCAGACGACTCTGAGAAAAATATGATTTCAAAGTTGAAGGTAAGAAGCAATGGCTGTTTTGTATAATATTGTCTGTTTTTAACCTTTTCAACATGCACTTATCGAGGCAGAACATACATGTAAAAATTGTAGGGAAACTTTATGGACCATTATCATGTCACCTGAGGTTTGAGGTTTGAACAGCGGATCAACATCATGGCACACAGTAGTAACTCACTAGTGCTCCGTTCTACTCCTAACTCAAGTCTGAGTCCGAAGTAGCTCAGCGCAGTGCACGGGTTCCAGAGCATCGAGGAGGATCCTTAAATATTTTGGGTAGATTATTAACTCTAAATTTTGCCCGGGCAGTGCTGTTAGGCTACTCTTTTTGATTTCTAACTCCCAATTTTACTACCCAGAGACCAGGGGAAATTACTAAAAGTCCATGTGATAAAATCCCAGCCTTCGCTAGGGCCTGAATCCGGGGCCTTTAGCACATGAGGCAGACACCATACCTCAAGACCACACAGCTCCCCCTTTCCTCCATCATCATGTCCCCTGTGGTTGAGCATTACATGTTTTGGTTTGTCATTTTATACATTCACCAGTTTTTTTATCTGGTTATGTGGGAGATTATGTGACTATTGGACTGATTGTGTGTGTGATGTGGGAGATATTGTGACAGCTTGTTTGGACTGATCTGGTGTTTGTGATGGGAGAGATTATTTTACCACTGGGTTGAACTGGCTAAATGGGATTAATGGGGGTAGGGGGGTATCATGTGACCACTGGTTTGGACTTATCTGATGTGGGAGATCATGTGACCGCTTGGTTTTACCAGTCCGTCATCTGTGTCATGGGGTAGATCACGTGACCACTTGATTGAACTGATTCAATGTGTGGGTAATGTAGGAGGTCATGTGAGCACTGACTTGCACTGATCCTATAATGTATGGGTGATGTGGGAGATTATGTGGCCAATGGGTTGGACTGATCCACAGGGCTCGTAGCAACCCCCGAATCCTTAAAAACCCCTTGAACGGCAGTTTGCCCTTTCAAGTCCTTCAAAAGATCTAGAAAAGTTCAAAGAGGGATTAAAGTGCATGAAACTTGCCGACACTAATCTTGAAATAAAAAAAAATAGAACAAATTAAAAACTAAAATACTTTTCATTTGACAAATATGTTAGTCAATAGCACAGCTTCAAAGAACAAAGCTGGGTGAGCTTTGTTATTAAGCAACTCCCCACCTCTTCCCAACCTAAGTGCTAATTCTTGTATACCCGTTGCCTGGTGTCAGGTGCTTTTTCTTTTATATTAATTTTATTTTTTTGATGTATTGTTCTTAGCAGTCATTTGACCCATTTGGCAGTTGATCGACAGACAGATTATAAACAGCAAAGTTGTATTTGCCTGTATATCTCTCTACCTGGTGATCATGTGGAATAACTCGATGTTTGTGTGACTCTTGAGATTTTTGTTTTGTTTTTAGACCTATCAGGAATGAATAAATGAAATCAGTATCATGCTAACCATCCCCACTTCTGAGAAAACTTTCTTACACCTTTCTCAGATCGTGTGAATGATTATCATTAAAATTTTTGTTTCAGATATGTTGACATTTACATTTAAAAAAAAAATCTTTGTATTTAAGAGTGGCGGTAATATAAATTATTATTTGCTTCCTCTTTTACCACTTCTGTTGTGAAGGAAAATACAAGGTCCTGGTTGTTTCTCTTCTGGCTGTCTCAGCCATAGAGTTGAGTTGAGTTTGAGTAAAGAATTGACATCACAGCACTTGGGGCATTCCCATATGTGCTTCGTCTTCATCTTCAGCAACCAGCGGAGAGTTCCAGTACTGTCCGTCTTGCCTTTCCTCTGAGTGTAGTGAGCCAGGCAGACCCTCTGGTTACACCCAGGTGCTGTCTCAGTCATAGAGACTCGATACTGCTGTAGTTTTTCCGATGTTGCCTCTCTATCTTGTATACTGCTGTAGTTTCTCTGATGTTGCCTCTCTATCTTGTATACTGCTGTAGTTTCTCTGATGTTGCCCCTCTCTACTGTATACTGCTGTAGTTTCTCCGATGTTGCCTCTTTATGTTGTATACTGCTGTAGTTTCTCTGATGTTGCCTCTCTATCTTGTATACTGCTGTAGTTTCTCTGATGTTGCCTCTCTATCTTGTATACTGCTGTAGTTTCTCTGATGTTGCCTCTCTATCTTGTATACTGCTGTAGTTTCTCTGATGTTGCCTCTCTATCTTGTATACTACTGTAGTTTCTCTGATGTTGCCCCTCTATATTGTATACTGCTGTAGTTTCTTCGATGTTGCCTCTCTATCTTGTATACTGCTGTAGTTTCTCTGATGTTGCCTCCCTGTCTTGTATACTGCTGTAGTTTCTCTGATGTTGCCTCTCTGTCTTGTATACTGCTGTAGTTTCTCTGATGTTGCCTCTCTGTCTTGTATACTGCTGTAGTTTCTCTGATGTTGCCTCTCTATCTTGTATACAGCTGTAGTTTCTCCGATGTTGCCTTTCTATCTTGTTTACTGCTGTAGTTTCTCTGATGTTGCCTCTCTATCTTGTATACTGCTGTAGTTTCTCTGATGTTGCCTCTCTATCTTGTATACTGCTGTAATTTCTCTGATGTTGCCTCCCTATCTTGTATACTGCTGTAGTTTCTCTGATGTTGCCTCTCTATCTTGTATACAGCTGTAGTTTCTCCGATGTTGCCTTTCTATCTTGTTTACTGCTGTAGTTTCTCCGATGTTGCCTTTCTATCTTGTTTACTGCTGTAGTTTCTCTGATGTTGCCTCTCTTTCTTGTATACTGCTGTAGCTCTGTCTTTTTCCTTGGTTAAATTTTAAAATAAGGCTGTAAGTCCCATTCCTCTTTTAGTATATACTGTGTATGGCAGGCATCATAAAGTAATCTGTCGAAGTGGGAAAACCACTTTCTTTTCCGTTTTGGTATGTAATTCCATGCAGTTAGAAAACCGTATTGAAGATGTGGATATAAGAAGAAGTCGTCTATTTTATGCTGGGAAAAACAACTGTCAAATTCAGATGTTCTGAAGACACTAGGAATGTATTGAAAGTGGCAAAAGGAAATAGAGAAAATATTTCAGCCATGTTAAAAGTTTTGTAAAAACCATATTGAAGGAACAAGTTCGTGGCAAGAGACATACAACAGTACATGTGGGAAGATAATATGAAGAGATGGACAAACAACATTCTAAGAGAATGTATATGCAAGACGAAAGGCAGCATATTTAAGATCCACTGTCGCCAACCTTCATTGTGGAGATGCCACCTGATTGACTGACTGGCATATAATTCATCATTGGTTCAATGCTGACCTTTCCCCTCTATTTTGATTGGTGCTGAGGTATGTTTCTGTGCATTCCTGTTTACAGACTGAGTGTGGCTGCCAGTTTACCTCCAAACTGGAAGGGATGTTCAAAGATATGGCCTTGTCAGCAAGTATACAAGAGGAGTTCAAGCGCTACTGTGTGGATAAAAATGTGTCCTTGTCGGGCGTTGACCTGACAGTTCGGGTACTGACCACTGGTTACTGGCCCACACAGACAGCAACCCCAATCAATATACCAATGGAGCCTAGAGCAGCTTTTGAGGCCTTCAGAGTGTATGTATTTATCATGTGTCAGGATGTACTGTTCATCTCACAATAGTAGCATGACAATCATTATTTACAAAATAAGCGTAAAATAGATTAAACTTAGCAATTTGTAGTTTAAATTTAAACAATCTCTGCAATATTAAGTAAGCAGAAGTCACTTCTTCCTGTTAACATTCTCCAGCTGTAAACTCTGACGGCAAGTTCAGGTTCCAGAACTTGAGTTGTGCGTGCACCTCCATTTTACAGATCTGGCTTGTTTGTATAAAGACTCTTGGTTCCTCGCCTGTCGGGCAGATGCACTCTGACTTAGAAACACCACTAATTAGTTACCTTTTACGTCATGCTTGGTAGGTTTACAGTATATCTACAACCCCCCCCCCCCCCCCCCCCCCCCCCCCTCCATGTGACAGCGAAACCCCCACGAGTTGAAGTAACTTACAAAGCATGTTAAAAAAGGTGAAGATGGATATGCTCCGTGCAGAGTGGCAAGCAACACTTCAGAGGTGCTGGCTAGTCAGTGTCGTTTAGATGTTTTCTCCAGGTTCTGCAGGTGTGTTGGGAAATGCACACACAGACAGACTGGCTGGTTCTGCACCACTTGGTGATAAACTGATACATGACAAGCTGGATGTTTTCATGGCTTTTTGGGAGAGGGTGGATAGTGCAAGGCATATCGATCATAACAATTATCTCTGATGAGAATTATGTAGCCGGAAGTAATCTGGGGATCTGGCCAACAGCCCAGGCTCAGGAAAAAAGCATGACCAACATACATTCAGCCTGCCACTGGCACTGTTGAAATTTGAACTCTGTTTTGGCTGCTGAAGATAAGGATGGAGCTTATGGGATTGTCCCAGCTGCTGTGATGTTAGTTCTTGACTCAACTGAACAAAACCAAAAGTAAATGACCCAATTAAATATCTAATATTGAAAAAAAAAGGGGAAAAAACTGTGTATCTCAGTTATAAAACATAGAGTTTAAGAATATTGTTGTTTTAATAGAAGGGTTAAAGAATATTGTTGTTTTAATTACTGCCCCATTTTACCTCTTGAAACCAGTAACCACGTGATGGAACTGTAAAACAGTGATGAAGTAATAGCACTTCTTTTTCACATTCACCAGCTTTTAACTCTGTTAGAAAGCTCTGGTTGTTTGTCCACTTCTGGACTTTAGCCTTGTTCCAGAACTTGAGTTTTGCATGCACATTACAGACCGGCATATTTTTAAGCAGACTGTTGGTTCCTTGCCACCCCGGCAGATGTGCTCAGATTTTAAAGGAAACACCCTAAACTAATTGACTTTATAACTTGGTTGTTGGGGATGGGGGGGGGGGGGGGGGGATGCAGTGGGTCTGTCCTCTACCCCTTTCCAAATGAGGCCCAGAATCCACACTTTGAAATTAACACTTCAGGTGGGGCATTTACTCTGTTGACCACGAGAAATTAAATGTGAGTTTTGTCATCCAATACAAATTCCAGAAAAACCAGTTTGTGGGTTTCACCACTATATCAGATCTCATGAAAGCCTTTTGGTCAGTTCTGGTAGTTTGTGTGCAATGTGTTTTTACGGATCAGATATGGTTATAATTTCAAAAAATAGCAGCTAAGGCATCTTTATTGACAATTACTCTGAAAGTAATGTGTGTTTAAAAGTGGTATTTCGAATGAGTAAATGAAGGAAACAGTGTACTGTTGATTCAGAAACAAAAAGAAAGAGCTCTCCTGCTGCTGCCAGAGCCAAAATACTGGATGTTTCATAACCTGTTACGTTTCGTCATTGTCTAGAAAAATGTTAACAGTTTTGTTCAGTATTTGGTACTGTTGTCACAACAAATTGCAGAATGACCCAATTTCTTAGAAAAATCTGGAGTTTTAAGTTTACAGAAATGCCGTGGCAAAAGAGTTAAGGGTAGAGAGGACTAGAGAAACTACATTTGAAGTTTGAAAAAAACAGAAGCTGAAAAATAGTAACATAATAACATTACCCAAATCATTATTATTGTGTCAGGATGCAGGAAACACTACCTTGAATTACATGTAAATTTAATGTAAAGGACCCTTTTCATGTCTTTAGCACACCAGGCAGACAGTGCTAGACCTGTATTTTATAGACTGATTGATACACAGTGGATTGGCAGACAGTGTTGGACCTGTATTTTATAGACTGATTGACACACAGTGGATTGGCAGACAGTGTTGGACCTGTATTTTATAGACTGATTGATACACAGTGGTTAGGCAGACAGTGTTGGACCTGTATTTTATAGACTGATTGACACACAGTGGATTGGCAGACAGTGTTGGACCTGTATTTTATAGACTGATTGATACACAGTGGTTAGGCAGACAGTGTTGGACCTGTATTTTATAGACTGATTGATACACAGTGGTTAGGCAGACAGTGTTGGACCTGTATTTTATAGACTGATTGACACACAGTGGATTGGCAGACAGTGTTGGACCTGTATTTTATAGACTGATTGATACACAGTGGTTAGGCAGACAGTGTTGGACCTGTATTTTATAGACTGATTGATACACAGTGGATAGGCAGACAGTGTTGGACCTGTATTTTGTAGACTAATTGGCACTCATTGGATAGGCAGACAGTGTTGGACCTGTATTTTATAGACTGATTTGCACTCATTGAATAAGCAGACAGTGTTGAACCTGTATTTTATAGATTGATTGACACTTAGTGGATTGGCAGACAGTGTTGGACGTATTTTATAGACTGATTGACACTTAGTGGATAGGCAGACAGTGTTGGACCTGTATTTTATAGACTGATTGACACTCAGTTGATAGGCAGACAGTGTTGAACCTGTATTTTATTGATTGACTGGCACTTTGTGGATAGGCAGATAGTGTTGGACCTATATTTTATAGGCTGACTGGCACTCAGTTGATCGGCAGATAGTATTGGACCTGTATTTTATAGGCTGATTGGTGCTCAGTTGATAGGCAGATAGTATTTGACCTGTATTTTATAGACTGATTGGCACTTAGTGGATAGGCAGACAGCATTGGACCAGTATTTTAAAGACTGATTGGCACTTCTGTGGATAGGCAGACAGTGTTGAACCTGTATTTATAGACTGATTGGCACTTCTGTGGATAGGCAGACAGTGTTGGACCTGTATTTATAGACTGATTGGCACTTCTGTGGATAGGCAGACAGTGTTGGACCTGTATTTATAGACTGATTGGCACTTCTGTGGATAGGCAGACAGTGTTGGACCTGTATTTATAGACTAATTGGCACTCATCACACCTGCTGCTGTTACCCTGCCAGGACATTACATGTACCTATTTAAGGCTGTTTTGACTTGGGAGCGAAGGCAAGTTTTGACAACATCCATCTCTTTGTGGATCTGACCCCTCATAACTTTGTTGTGCCAATAGGTGATCATCTTGCTGTTATGCTAGCATGCCCCCTGCAAACTAAATGTAAAAGATCTCATTTGTAAAACAGAAAAAACTAAATTACTGCCTGTATTTACCACTTTTGCCCGGGGGGAGGGGGGGTTGGGGTTGCTTAGGTTTGAGCCTGAAGATTTAGGGCTGCATGGCTAGGCTGTTACCACAGACTGAGCAGGTTGGGATTTTCTTTTTCCATGACCAAAAAAATTCTCAACCTTGTGTGTTTTTTTCTTCTCTTTTTTTGTCTCTATCTCTTTTTGCTACTTGGAACTCTATCAGTGGTTTTGTTTCGAGAGAGGTAAACAAAGATCAGTGGTGACTGATTTTGACTCATACACATTCGTATTCCAAACAAAAGTTATATACCAAGCAAAGGTTGCTAAACAAAAGTTATATACCAAGCAAAGGTTGCTAAACAAAAGTTATATACCAAGCAAAGGTTGCTAAACAAAAGTTATATACCAAGCAAAGGTTGCTACGTCTAAATGGGACGTGTACCAAGTTGAACATATGCCAAAGCGAAGGTTGCTGCGTCTAAATGGGACGTGTACCAAGTTGAACATATACCAAGCAAAGGTTGCTACGTCTAAATGGGACGTGTACCAAGTTGAACATATACCAAGCAAAGGTTGCTGCGTCTAAATGGGACATGTACCAAGTTGAACATATACCAAGCAAAGGTTGCTGCGTCTAAATGGGACATGTACCAAGTTGAACATATACCAAGCAAAGGTTGCTACGTCTAAATGGGACGTGTACCAAGTTGAACATATGCCAAAGCGAAGGTTGCTGCGTCTAAATGGGACATGTACCAAGTTGAACATATACCAAGCAAAGGTTGCTGCGTCTAAATGGGACGTGTACCAAGTTGAACATATGCCAAGCAAAGGTTGCTGCGTCTAAATGGGACATGTACCAAGTTGAACATATACCAAGCAAAGGTTGCTGCGTCTAAATGGGACGTGTACCAAGTTGAACATATACCAAGCAAAGGTTGCTGCGTCTAAATGGGACGTGTACCAAGTTGAACATATACCAAGCAAAGGTTGCTGCGTCTAAATGGGACGTGTACCAAGTTGAACATATACCAAGCAAAGGTTGCTGCGTCTAAATGGGACGTGTACCAAGTTGAACATATGCCAAAGCGAAGGTTGCTGCGTCTAAATGGGACGTGTACCAAGTTGAACATATACCAAGCAAAGGTTGCTGCGTCTAAATGGGACGTGTACCAAGTTGAACATATGCCAAAGCGAAGGTTGCTGCGTCTAAATGGGACGTGTACCAAGTTGAACATATACCAAGCAAAGGTTGCTGCGTCTAAATGGGACGTGTACCAAGTTGAACATATGCCAAAGCGAAGGTTGCTGCGTCTAAATGGGACGTGTACCAAGTTGAACATATGCCAAAGCGAAGGTTGCTGCGTCTAAATGGGACGTGTACCAAGTTGAACATATGCCAAGCAAAGGTTGCTGCGTCTAAATGGGACGTGTACCAAGTTGAACATATACCAAGCAAAGGTTGCTGCGTCTAAATGGGACGTGTACCAAGTTGAACATATACCAAGCAAAGGTTGCTGCGTCTAAATGGGACGTGTACCAAGTTGAACATATACCAAAGCGAAGGTTGCTGCGTCTAAATGGGACGTGTACCAAGTTGAACATATACCAAGCAAAGGTTGCTGCGTCTAAATGGGACGTGTACCAAGTTGAACATATACCAAAGCGAAGGTTGCTGCGTCTAAATGGGACGTGTACCAAGTTGAACATATACCAAAGCAAAGGTTGCTGCGTCTAAATGGGACGTGTACCAAGTTGAACATGTGCCAAAGCGAAGGTTGCTGCGTCTAAATGGGACGTGTACCAAGTTGAACATATGCCAAGCAAAGGTTGCTGCGTCTAAATGGGACGTGTACCAAGTTGAACATATACCAAAGCGAAGGTTGCTGAACCGTCTAAATGGGAC